CTACCCGGATTCGAACCCGGGACCTTTGAATGAGAGGCCAACACCTTAACCTCTAGGCCACGAGAGCCCCCGTTTTTCTGTGTGACAAGTGAAAGATATGATGTGTGATTAGCCATATGATATGTGATTGGAAATATTATTATCTGTGATTAAAGATATTATCTGTGATTAGAGATATACTGTGACTAGATATATTTTCTGAGAGAAGATATTATTTGTGATTGGAAATGTATGATTAGAGACATTATCCGTGAATAAAGGTATTATCTGTCATTTAGACAAGTGAGATGCATCCCAATCAGATTTGGCTTTATGAGCAGCTGTAGTCAGCTATGAGTTATCTGCTGGGGATGTTCTTTGTTTGTATTCATTCGCTTTTGACAGAACTGACTGTTTGTGATCTAGTTACATCAAAGTTAATATTTTTGCTTTAGATAATCATTACATATGCCTAATTTACACAACAATTACAGTCCAGAAATACGAAGTATAAGACACACCGGATTACGTTGTCTGTATATCTATCTCAATACTATGGTGCATGGAAGCTGCTTCTGTTCCATATATATATATGTGTTTTTAAGGCATAGATCATCGTTTGAATATCAATTCATTTAGATGTGAATATCGATTAAGAAAGTTATTATATGATATCGTTCCAGCTCCAAGAAATTGGAGGCATTGAAGACAAAAGTGAAAGGAATGGACGATGGACCCACGTCCAGGCCGACGTCACAGAACTCGAGGCCAAACTCCAGACACAGGTCCTCCCACAAAGTGAACAAAGGGTGAGTGGAAAGTCTTCATTGCATGATGAGATATCAGTATTAGACTCTGAATCCCGCTTGAGATTTGATTGTAGTTCATTTAATGGGAATCAGATAGAGAATAACAATCAAGTTCTTTAGTGAACTGATCAGTATTAGCTGTAGAGAAATTAACCCCGAAAGTGAACTCATCTGTTTAAACATAGATAATATTGCTATAATAATCGAGTGTCACTTTCGATCTCTTCCAGTCTTATACCAGTCAGAATCAGGAATCCATAGCTTTCTTACAACGAAGAGAAAAGACTTTTCAAAATGCCCAAGAGCATCTGCTTAGTACGTTATGGAAAAATCTTCTTACGACCCGTTAATTCCTGGCCTCGAAAATGTGACTATTTTGTCCACATTATTCAACAATATTGGCACATAAGTTCCTTGTGGGTTACTCTTGTTCTCTCCGTGTCTGCAGACAGCCGGCGCCCGTGGACAAACTGTTGTTCCTCAAGGCCCGCGCGGGCATCAGGTTCACGGAGAGTGCTGTACTCATCTCTAGTGAGGGAGGATTTCTCCGCTGGTGGAACATCTACTCAGCGCACAAGGATATGGGTACGAGTAAGACAGAACATTATAGAGAATCCTGAAGCTTTTAACCACCCAGTATGTTTTTTTGGTCACAAGTCTTGTTTTTGTTATGTAAACCCAACACGATTAAATATTATTGAGATCGTCGGCTCAGATTAGTGAGTAGTAATAACTATGAAGTGAGCTCAGGCTCCCCCCCCCAAAAAAAATAAAAAAAATAAGGATTTAACACGTTGCTTACGTGATTGATCACTGGGATGTATGAGCTAAAAGTACCGGGCGCGACGCTGAAGCGACTAGCAATGAACTGCCTGTATTTGTATGATACGTGTTTTATGTGATGTTCTTATATTTTTCCGTTGGTTTAACCAGAAGTGACCGGCGTCTGGGGTCAGCGGTTAAGCATTTGGCCAATGCATACAAAAGATCTGAGTTTGATTCCCCGATGGAGATATTTTTATTGAGTATATCCGTCTTTTTGCTGGGAGTTTAATAAAAGAGTGACAACTGTTCACTCTAAAGGGAATGATCGGGTTCTGTCTCCAAAATGACCTAAGTTAGGGGGAAGGCGTGGTGTAAAATCATATGCATGAAAAGATAAAACAAACCAGAAGTTACATTTTTACAATTGTTTTTTCTTTTCATAATTGATACCAATGTATATTCTTGTCATGCAGACTGGTACGAAAGTTTTTGGTCATCAGTTCCTGTCGTTTAGTTCTGTTAATGTTTTGTCCTTTGTCAATTCTACAGCGTTTCTTGTTTCATGCTTCGCTATTGGCCTTGCACACACAAGATGAGGATTCGATTTCCGAACATGAAAGTTGCTGTAAAGAGTATCTCTCCCATTTTTTTTTTAGCTGGGATTTTTGTATCCCACTCAGTTAATTGGCAAAGTAGAAACCGTATACTTCCTAGATGATCAAACATAATATGAACATGGTAACGTTATACGTTTTGAATGCATCATAGGTTACTTCTATGTGCCAAACATCCCGGACGAGTCTGTGCTGGCGATGTGCACCAAGCCCAACGACAGTCTGCTCATCACAGGAGACACGCAGGGGGTGGTGAAGTGCTGGGACATCATGGACTACTGCACCAAGTATCACGGCGTGAGTGCTCTTTTCCAACAATGTCACAACCTTGATTGCCGTTGAAATGAATGCTTACATATAATAATACGAAGACAGATGGGCAATTTAGCTGTGATCTCCTTTTTTGTCAGAAATAATATAACGTAAAGAAATTTTCTTCTTAAGTTAGAAAAAATTAATGTGAAAATGGACGATAAATGGTTAGATCCATAGATAAAGGGAATGGAAAAACATTAAGATAAATAGATAAACAGAGAGAGGTGGTAATTCTGATATTCATAGGGAATACTGATAGATAATGTAAGAGTAAGGTGACTTCAGTGCAAAAGACGTGCGGCGACTGACACACTAGTAAGACATCTCATCGAGGGTTTCCGTTTTTGTGTTGGGGGAGTACACTTCTCAACCCTGATTATTCCTTTCGGACTGTTGAAACAATCAGCTCATCAATCAATATAAAGTTGGTTTAGGATCTGTCAAGAAGTTAGGTAAAGTGGACATACATGAGAGGAGGAGTTCTACATGTAGATATAGTGAATATCTTTTTCTGTCTGTTTGTCTGTCCGTCCGTCCGTTCGTCTGTCTGTCTGTCTGTCTGTCTGTCTGTCTGTCTGTCTGTCTGTCTGTCTGTC